TGCTGGTGGTGACTGTGATGGTGGACGCGATGGCATGTTGGTGGTTGTCTTTCCGATGGCGGCGGCGGCGGCAGTTTTGAGGACGGTTATGAGGACGATGACAGTACTGATCACAACGATGATGTTGGCTTCTGATTGCAGTGGCGATGGGTGCCATGCTGCCGGATGAAGGCGGGTGAGATTCATAGGTCTCTTAAGCAGCACCGGACAAAGATGATGGTGCTGAGATGGGTGATCACAGACACAATAGTGCCAGTACAGCAGCAATGACTCACAACCTATAGCGATCGGCAGCGATGATGCGGGTGGTGCGTGCAGAAGATAAATACTGGAAGTGGAGAAAGGTCAGATGTTAAAATAGGTGTGAATAATGCCGGTGGCTTAGCAGTTGTACAGGTGAACGAGTGCAGCGACCGAAGTGAATTTGAATGGTGGAAAGACTTTTCTGCAAAATCACACCTGTGCATTGCGAGCAATGGTCGTGCTCTGCAGGGCATGCTCCAGCTCTGTGATCTGCATCGGCCGATTCAACCCCCAGAAAAACCAAGACCGAAGCTTTGAACCCGGTGTGTAGGTCCTCAAAAAGGTCTGACGTTTGTGCGACCAACCCGAAGTTATCGGCCCGAATTCTGAGGAATCCTTTGCTGTTGGGAGTCTTTGGTGGAGTAGCATTGACATCTCGAACGAACCATCGGGACTCAATCACCAAGCCCCAACCCCAACTTTCCATTTGCTGTTTTGGGTCGGGGGTTGAGGTGCAACTCGCGCGTATGCCCGAAATCAACGTCCATCCTAGATTCGCCACCCCAAAATCAAAGCCCTGCATCCATAAACAGGCCTCACAACGAAACGCGAAACCCGAAACCCTGAAATCTTGGACCCAGAGCCACCAGCCCGAAACCTCAAGCTTTGCGAGCTTTGCCCGCCTTGAGAGAAAAAAGCATGAGAGTCGAAGAGAAACGGGGAGGTGGAGGATGCCATCCTTGAGCTTAGCAAGGCGGGGCCTTGGGTCCAACCGGTTTGGAAGTCGGTTGTAGAATCTGTGGCTTTAAAAGGTGGGGTTTGGGGGTTTGGGGCTTTGAAGGTTGGGGTTTCAGGTGTAGAATGTGCTGGTTACTCGGCTCAATAGGTCATTTCGGAGACACAGCTTTTGCGGAACGGTTTCGCAGCACTCCAGCTGAACATGTTTTCGGATTCCAGATCGAGAAGGGTAAGACTTTGTGACGTCGCTGCCACGAAGAGGCTTCATTGGGCTACGGGCTTTTGTCTGTCGGACTGCTCACGAATGAGGCTGAGGCTTCGAACGTTAGGATCCCGATCCTCTGCGTCTCTTCTCCATTCTTTGGTGTTCATGAGTAGGCTTTAGGGCTGACTCAGCGTGGACTTATGGGTGGTGTTCTGCCCCCCCACACCTTTACCAGGAGCTGCTGCTTCAGGCCTTGTCATCGCCTGCTGAAGGTTGTGTTGGCCGCATGTGGTCGACAACTTGTTGAGTCCACTGGAGTGACGAAAGTCCCAAGCAGTGACACTCTAAACCCTAAGCCTGCCAGAATAAACTTGAAAGGTTGACAAAGACTCCACGCGGTGGCGCCCTGAGGGGTTTGAACAACTGCTTCTGGGCTTTAGGGTTTATTTTGCTTTTGGGGCTTCAAGATTCTGAGCAAGGGATGCAGTGGCCCAGGGTTCAATGTCTCAGAAGAGCTTCAAACTCCTGGGCACGCACTTTCGTCCGTGTTGCGCGCCTTGGGGATGGTCGTGCATGGTGGAACCCTCGCGACCTGAGCAGCGAGGGCTCCGAAGTCAGTGTAATTTGCTTTATGGATGAGCCGAAGGCTTAAGGGGTTGAGCGCAAACCCTACCTGGCGTCCCCAACTTGAAACCGCTGCGTTTCTTCATGCGGGCCAAAAGAGATGTGAATCCGTAAGGTGCGCTACATGTAGCCCGCTCATCTTGCCTCCGAAGCTTAAGCTGCAGATTTTTCCCCGTCTCCCGAGGGCCTCGCAGATGCACGAGAAGTGTGCGGAGGTTTTCCCCCGACTTGCCGGGTTTCAGGGTGAGGACCTGGTGCAACGTGATTGGGTGTAGAGGAGTCTTGGCACTGGGCGGCCTGCCGCAATTTCGGGATGTAGGAGTGTGTCTGAATGCACAAGTTTGCTGCTCCTTGTGTTGCTCCTGCCTCTGTGTTTGGCATCCCTTGGTGCTTGTGGTCATCGCCTGTGCTGCTCACCCGCTGGCCCAGGCTTGTGTATGCACCGGATGCACCGATATAAACCTCATGTGACCGGAATCGAGCTTCAAGCTCGTCTAAGCCTTTTTTTTCGGCTTCGCTGAAGGCACGTCCTCGAGCTCCTCATTGAAAGCTTCGAGATTCTGGGGGAAGTTGGGGGCCTTAAGCCCCTTTGCCCAATCGCTCTGGGACCGCTGTGAATGCCTTTCAGATAGGCAAGCCCTAGTAATACCTTCCCAGCCAGCCGCCCCCTCCACAGCCAAATCTCACAACCAAAGCCTTCAACGCGAGTGCCATGGCATCGCCCCGGCAAATCGAGTTGAACCGCTGGCTGACGCAATCCACTGCGGCGGAGATCATCCAGGCGCTCCCTGTGCAAAAGGACATCCGGATGGATAGCAAACTAGCACTCGACTCTTGGAAGTGGGCCCAGTTCGGGGTCAGCCGCGAGCTCGAGGATTCAGAATGTTCCTCAAGATTTCGGTTCATTTTGGCGGTTGTGCTTCCTGCTACCGGCGTAGCTTGGCATCGCTGTTGCTCAGAGAGCTAGGGGCAGTTTTCCGGATCACACATTAGAGACCTCCCTGCGAAAACGGACACAAAGTCCGAGAGCAGTTGAACACGGAAGCCTCACGTATCCTGACATCACGTTTCCTTCGGAGGTGGTCCAGGAGAATCTGACAGAGTTCAACCTCGTGCCCCGATTGTGGAGTTGAGAGGATGTGCAGGTTGCTACATGGTAGGTCCTGAGCGTCAAGCCGTGAACCTCCCGCCCTTCAGACACAAGACCGTAATGAGAAGAAACTTGACGCTAGTACTCCAGGTAGGTTAGAGCCGATGACTTTCTGACAGCAACGGCAGGAACAGAGAGGAGTGCCCAGGTAAACTGCACGACCGCCCTGCAGCGCTACGCCAAAGCGCTTGGCTCGGGTCCAGGCCCTTGGGGTGAGGATGCTGGCTTGGCGGTTAGCGCTTCAGGATTAAGCTAGAGACCACCACCCACACACATTAACATACAGACGGACGTAGGGAGGATAAGGCAAGAGAGCCTTTTGCTCGAGGCCGGCCGGACGCCGCACGCAGGGGCGGGCAGAAGCGCCCGGCTGAAGCGGAGGAAACTCTCGGGCGGCTCCTCCTTCGCACCGCTGAGCTGGCGCAGTCCGCTGGTACCCAGGTGTCGGCCCCGAAGACAGGATGAGCGAAACCGAAAACCAACAGAAGCTGCAGTGCTTGGCTACTTGTGCGAGGTCCCGCCGCAGAATCTTGCGAATGCGCTGTGGGCTACATGCCTCCAGAGTTGCGGGTCTTGTGGATCTTCTGGGCAGGCCTCTTTGGTATCCTTCAGATACTCCTTACATGATGTGGCAAGGAGAACCTAAAAGACCTAAACACGGGCCTAAAGGGAGCACGCCATATGAGGATCCAGGAAGTGACCAGAGCCCAGACCTCAGTCTAATAGGGAGTGAACACGCTGAGGTGGCCCTGCGTTTTGAAGCTCCGACTCCTCAAGCTTAGAATCTACCACCCAACCTTATACTATACTCACTGAGGCCCCGAGATCGTACATGCTAAGTTAAGGGCTTTCGGCCAAAGGGCCCAGGAGGTCTGGGTTTGGCCGAACTCCGAGCGCCAAGCGCTCCCTAAAAACCTCAACTCAATCCTGAACCCTCCCTGAAACCCCGCACCTGAAAACCTAAAACTGCAGGATGGAAAAACACCTAAAACTGCATCCTAAACCCTAAACCCCAACCCCCCGCCCCCCGAAACAACTCTAAACCGTAAACCCCAGGGCCACTAAGTCCTGAGTCCCCGACCATCCTGCGCCCAAACTTTGACCCTGCTTGAAGATTCATAGTTTGGGGTTTAGGGTTTAGTTTAGGGTATGTAGGTAGTGATACCTTAAGGGCTCTTGCTGTGGGGTTTACATAGTCTTACGGTTCAACGGTTTAGCGCTGGTCACAGGTGGCTATAAGCATGGCTGTACGTACGTCAACCGGGGCCAGCCGTAAGTAGCTATCAGTGAGGCTACTCACAGCTGTTCGTCACGAACCCGGGGCTGAGGGTTCATTTGTTGGGCCTTCACTATAATGCTTCCCCAAACCACAGTCTCACGCTTCGTATTTCACATCCCCTCAGCCTCTAAAAAGTCATGTAACCTGTGCTGAGCTGATGCAGGATGTGTGCTGTGTTGTGTCGTGTTGTGTTTAGTTAAGTTTAGTTTGGACATGCCTCGCCTGGAGTGTCCGAGTGTGGGAGCCGAAAACCTGCACCTACCTACACGTTTGCCAAGGCCGCAGAGCGTCTTGTAGCCTCGCCGGGGGCGCCGCAGGCAACCTTGGCGGCCATCGCTCGGAAGGCCTTTGGGATTTCGGGTTTAGCCGGGTTTGTGGTTTGAGGCGTCGGCTTGTTTCGAAGTCGTGCTTCACAGACTCTTACGTTGTTTTAGCCGGATTTCCTTGGAGGGAGTCTTGAACAGGACTCGGCGGTGCTGGTATTGGTCTTCTGCTTTTGGGTGAAATGCAGGACGCTCGATGAGTCGAGGGCTCAGGGCGAACTGTTAAGTCGAGGGCTCTTCGGCCCGAGGCTCACCACTCCGAAGCTTCGCCTTAAGCAACAGAAAGTGTCTGTGCAAAATGGTACGTGTCCGTAGCCCTCTCCCAAGGCAATCCGTAAAGGTACACGGCGAAAACCCCTGACAAGAAACGGTGTCAAGGCCTGCGATCTTTCAGCGCATGCACGGTCACCGAGAAGCCAAGCATTGAATCTCGAGGCCATGGGCGATCCGAAACGCTTGAAGGCGTTTAGCGGGCAGCACTTGGTCACTTGTCCAATCCAGCAGTCAGCAGTGGGAAGACCCTCAGGGATGAAGGATTCAGGGGTTCAGGAACTTCAGGTTAGGGCTGTCAGCATGTCGGATGTGAATTTCAAGTGCACGACTGCCTGAGAAATCGTTGCATCGCAGGGGCTTCATAGGTTCCGTGCTGCCGAAAGGCGAACATTGCCTGGGCCATTGCAAAGCTTCTGACAAGCGGTGCCTTGTGCTGAAGAGACGGCGTTGCAGTTTGGCAGAGGATCCGTGTTAGAAGAGAAGCAGCCGCTGCTTGGTGTCCCGAACCCGCCTCCGGTCTGGTGCGATGCTCTCCAACTCCGGCCCTCCGCATCCTGCTCTGACATCACCCCACCAGGTCGCGGAGCCGTTCTGTCGGGTGTGGGGTTTAGGGTTGAGATGGTTGAGGTGGGGGACCTGTCATCGGGCCGATGGCAGCCAGATGTGTGTCTGTGTGTGTCTGTCTGTGTTTACATGATCCGAGGACATGACGTGGTTTGAGTGGTGTAGTTTCTGCAGTTCGTCCGCATGCTAGCCTGTGTGGCTGACCAGAGACAGAGGGAGTATGGCGACCGCCTTGCAGATCCTCTTTCTTCCTGGTGGTAGAACAACCTCAAACCGTCGCTGGACAACAGGGCGAAAGGGCACCTGCAAGGGGGATGCGGCCCCTCGACCCGACAAAAGATTGAAGGCAGTAAGTAGGTTGCAAGTGGTGTCTGAACAAGCGAACGCAAATTACGATTTTGAAGACCCCCTTCGTGACCCGTGTGTTATCTCCACTGATCTTTAACTGCTGCGTGCACCCATCCTAAACCAACAGTCTGTTCATGCTTTGCCGTTGATCTACATGCATGCCAGAAGCTGATAACTAGAAGGTTCAGACGCGAAATCAATTGGAAACCACCCGTCACAAACAGTCACCGCGTAGAAGACAAAGACCTGTGCCTGAGGAATCTCTCTCCATTGAGGCTCAGCGGCCCAGCTGCTCAAATCTGCGGGCGCCACTTCGCAGGAGGCTTCTGGGGTTTTTGGTTGGGGTCGGTGCCGACCTGGGAAGCCCTCTTTTGGAGCCCATCAAGAACGGAAGTAGACAGCAAAGCCCACCAAGCACCAGACACAACCCCTGCTTGTATGTGTAAACCCTGCGGCGTAGCCCTGTTCGGTCTCAACTGCAACCAAGTGCTCTCGACAGCTCCTCAAAAGTGAACACCCGGACCCCGAAATTCATCCTAGCAGTCCTAGCAATGCCTATAAAGAGTGCTTCTATTCGGGAGGAGTGTTTTTGCACAGGTGCGGTGCTGGGGAACTAGGCTTCTCAGGTCCGGGCGAATCTGCTGCAGCAATTCTGAAAAGCCTAATCTGTAAACATGAAGCTCATATCCCTCAATCTCCAAACCCTAAGCCGTAGTTCCTTAAACACTCGGACATACAACTGCTACTTGGGCAGGTTTGTCCTTTTACCTTGTACCCGATGCCGACTTCACACAATCAGTCTCGCTTGCGAGCTTAAACCTCTTCGACACAATCTGCAGAAACTGGTTGTGTTGGTAATGTTGGGTCGGTCGTGTACTGTCGTCGACAGGCTACGAAGGAAGCATTGGAAGCATTATGCTCGGGCCGGAGTGTGCCTAGGGCCTTGTGATCGTATGTTCAGTTGGTGTGGGCCTTGGCTGTAGCTGTCAGTCCCTGACTCCAGGCCTTTCTGGAGCCTCTTTGCTCGGCTTTGGAGACCCGGGCTTGGGACCTAAATGCACAGGACCGCGCATGGGCGCGCCTGGGTGCTGTTGAGGCTTTGGGGTGTGAGGGATTTCACGCAGCTGGAGATGGACAGCGGGGTGGTAGACAGCGTGGAGCCCAGTCCCTGGAAAGGAAGGTCATCAGAGATGTCGAAGGTCGTGTCTCTGAATGATGGCCATTCAGAGCATTTTCGCTTGAAGCCTTGTCACCAGCAGCTGAAGACCCGAATTCGGTGCTTGCGAAAGGAGCTCTCCATGGCGGCCTGGGCGCTGGGCACTGCGGGCCATGACAACCACGCAGCCGCACGGGTCGTTGCGACCCTGGGAGAGGTTTGCAAAGAGTTCTGGGATTCGGGGTTGCAGGTTATACAGGCGCATGCGAGAGCTATTGGTTGAAAGGGTTCTATAAGCTTCAGGCCCTTTGCCCCAAATCCCTCAAGACCCAGTTTGGCTTGAGAGCGTCAGGGGTATTTAGGGCTTCAACCTCCAGGTGCGAGTACCAGCTTCTCAGGGCTTTGGGTTTTGTGTCGGGGCCTGGGTACAAGGTTTAAATAGTGTTGATGCTTGACACAGCCGGGTACCCGAAATTTTCATTTACTGGAAGTCTTGCCCCAGTAGCCTGAATAGCGTTGAATAGCGTTGAAACCTCCGGAATACCCAGTCTCTCAATGCTTGGATCCTTGCAACTTCGCGTCAACTCTGAACCTTCAGACCTTCAGACCTTAAGCCATCAGCCCCGCGAGTTTGAGCCCAGAGCCTTCGAGATCGAACCACGGTGAAACCCCAGGCCCTGACCTGAAGCATTCTTCGTATTTCTATTCGTGATGTGTACGTACAAGGTACAATCCGCATCAATCCGCATTCATTGAACCATGCCTGTCAGTAGCTTTAGTTATGAGAGGTGGCTCGCTGGCAGCTCGAGGGTGCCGAGGGGCTCAGCGCGCAGCAGTTAGCGACCGTCCGGGGCTCGGAGAGAAGGGTGAGATGCAGACAGTGAAAAGGATGACGGATCAGAAGCAAACTTGTTCGCCGACAATAGAGACAGTAAGACTGATATCAGGAGTGACGTTTTCGCATGTATGCCGGCAACAAGATTCACGAGCAACAGCAGTCATCACCATCATCAGCATGGTCGCCACTACCATCATCATAGGCGACCGACCATGTAGTTAGATGCCCCAAATCGCTCAAGGCTATTGATAGCAACTAGAACAACACGAATACAGCAGATGTAGGAAATGGTGATGCCAAAATAGGTAAACAAGAAATTTGATTCGTAGAATCAGAACAACAGCCACGACAACAATAGCAGTGCTGGTGCATGAGGTGTTGAGTCAGCTTACCGTTGTTTAGACTTCGAGGCCATCAGCCACAGGACATGTAACCCCCGGCTGCGAAACGAAGACATGATTCTCCAAGCTGGCAAAGTTTTCGTTATGCTGATGCTGCAGCACGAAGGGTGGAATTAGACCAGTGCTGCGTCACTCTTGGAAAGGCACAAAACCGGCAACCGCTGGTTAATAGTAATGCTGCCGATACAACAGGCAGCACTAACGACGATACCATAGCCTTCGTTTCCAGGGTCTAGTGTCTAGAACATAGTTCATCGTGTGCCCGTTGACGGAGGGAGCTGAGTCATGCCTGTTGGAGCCTCCACGAGTTATTCCATGTTCATGCGTCACTGCTGCCTTGACCAAGATGGCCTGGGCTTGTGCCCGCCTCGGTTGCCGCAGCGAGGCCGCTCGCCACAGCGGGCATTCAGAGTTTCACGGATGGTTCTGCAACAAAAAGGGTACACAGTGTTACAAATTCGAACGAGACGCTTTCGGTGCTTCGGTGGCCTTGCGATCACTAGAAGGCCCTGCAAGTCAGATTTGCAAGAAGCAGGCGGAGAGGATAGTCTGCAAATGTCTGCACTGCCTCCAGCTTCCCACCCATCTACTTCCGTGTTGTTTCAGTAAACCTCTAGATGTGACGAGTCACTTCCGCCAAGTCATGGCCCGAGCCTGCAGAGGCTCCGAGATTTCATGTCTTTGTCGGGAACAGCATCAAACTGAACTTACGTAGATTCTGCGTGTCGTCATCGCTGTCTGCTCCATGAAGCAGGCTTTGCTGCAGGACATCGCCAAAGCCGCGACGTGCTTGCGGCTGCATTGCGGAAGTTTCTGTGCACGCAGAAGCATTCCCATCGTGTGATTCGGAGTTTCTCCCATGATTACGAGAGAGCCGTGGCAATCACATCGAGCCGAAGCCAACTGAATTCGCAAACCGCAAAACCCTGCCAAAAGTCGCTAACATTCTGGCGTTCCTTGTTCTCGCGTGCGCGTGCCGCTGGTGTCATCACCGTCAGCGGATCTCGGTGAACAAACGACGCCACAAGTGGTGGCCTCTTGACTTGCAAATCCTAGATGGGACAGGACCATCAGTGCCCGTGCTGTCTCTGTGGGTCCCAATGCCAACCAGGACATCAAGACATCCCACCGATCGGACATGTTCAGAAACTGAAGAAATCCGGTGCCTAGAATCAGCACTGCGGCAGCGCAAAGGAGGTCAAAGCTTTGACGGAGGTGTGGCCACCCTTGCTTGACATAGAAATTAAATTCAAATATGAGCGACGGGTGTATATACATTCTGTGATGCGCCCCGTCAGATCAGTTCTGTACGTATAAACCTAGGTTCTCTGATCACTGATCGGTCGATTGCGGTGGCTTTCCAGCTATTCGTCGAACCGGAGTTTGCGATTATGCTTTAATCAGGAGCCTAAAATCGCTGTAAAGCCCAAGCACAATTGGGATGCAAAGCTGTTGGATGAATGGCAGCCCAACTTCTGGGCATTATCTGCAAGCGAGTCCCGGGACCGGGGAAAATCAAAGCAGACGGAAAGTTGGACAACCCCAAAGTGCCTTTGCATAGTGCCTGCACTTCGGCGCACGCACACGCACGCGCGCACAGACACAGACACAGACACA